TTGCTGCAGAGAGCCCGCCGCGGGAACCTGAGCAGCAGCAGCAGCAGCAGCAGCGGGGCGTGAAGCAGCAGCAGCAGCAGCAGCAGCGGGGCGTGCAGCAGCAGGCAGCAAGGCGCCAGCAGCAGCAGCAGTGAACCGTGCAGCAGCAGCAGCAGTGCACCGTGCACCAGCAGCCGCAGCACCAGCAGCCGCAGCAGCAGCAGCAGCCGCAGCAGCAGCAGCAGCAGCAGCAGCAGCAGCAGCAGCAGCAGCAGCAGCAGCAGCAGAAGATGGCGTCGGCGGAGTTGCTGTGGCAGTGCGTGCGCCGCACCAGCTGCTTCTTAAGAAAGTCCCACGGAATTCTCCTTTCCAAAGAGCCCCTCAATTTGGCCCAAAAAAATTCCCTCCGCTTCTCCGGCCTTTGCCACCCCCGGCCGCTGGGGCTGCAGCTCGTGGGCAACGCAGCAGCAGTTAAGCTCTCTTACAGGGCCAAAAACCCCAATAAAGCCAGGTCTGCTGCTGCTGCTGCTGCTGCTGCTGCTGCTGCTGCTGCTGCTGCTGCTGCTGCTGCGGCTGCTGCTGCTGCTGCGGCTGCTGGTGCTGCGGCTGCTGGTGCACGGTGCACTGCTGCTGCTGCTGCACGGTTCACTGCTGCTGCTGCTGGCGCCTTGCTGCCTGCTGCTGCACGCCCCGCTGCTGCTGCTGCTGCTGCTGCTTCACGCCCCGCTGCTGCTGCTGCTGCTGCTGCTCAGGTTCCCGCGGCGGGCTCTCTGCAGCAAGAAGTTTCCCAAGTCCCACAGCAAGACGAAGCAGCTGCTGCAGCTGGTGGCGCAGCAGCGGCCGGATTTGGTGCGGCTGGCGAAGAAGAGATTCCACAAGCTTTGCAAGACTTCCCCCAAGCCTGCGCAGGCCGAGCAGCAGTAGCTTTGCTGCTGCTGCTGCTGCTGCTGCTGCTGCTGCTGCAGCAGCAGCAGCGGGGGCTGTCGCCGCAGCAGCAGCGGCTGCGGGCGCTGAGGCCGCGGCTGGGGCTGCTGCTGCTGCTGCAGCGGCGGACTGCCAAGCAGCCGGCGGCTGCTGCTTGCTGCTGCAGCGCGCCGGCTGCAGCAGCAGCAGCAGCTGCTGCTGCAGCAGCTGCTGCAGCAGCTGCAGCAGCAGCAGCGGGGAGAAGGGACTTTTTCTCTCTCCGTTTCTCTTTGCCGCAACTTCAGCAAAAGACACAAAAGCCCTGATGGCCAACTGCTGCCTTTAAAGCTATTTTTGCTTCTCCAGTGTCTCTTAACTTCTTGTCTTTGCTGCAGCAACTGCTGCAGCAACTGCTGCAGCAACTGCTGCAGCAACTGCTGCAGCAACTGCTGCAGCAACTGCTGCAGCAACTAGAAGTCCATTTAGAGGCAGCTTCTTTGCAAAGTTCATTTGCATTAGTATAAATATTTATATTTAGATTCCACAGTTAGTCCCACCACTACCAGAAACTGCTGCTGCTGCAGCAGCAGCGGCAGCTGCAGCAGCAGCAGCAGCAGCAGGGCCTGTGTAGTTAGCCTGCGTTGGTGGGGCCTGTGGGCCCCTCAGGCAAATTTTGGCGCTTTTGCTGCTGCAGCAGCAGCAGCAGCAGCAGCAGCGCTGCGGGGATTTAAATCAGAAAAAGAGACTACTGAGGTCCCCGACCCTCTTCTGCTGCGGTCCGGAGCAGCAGCAGCAGCAGCAGCAGCAGCTGCTGCTGCTGCTGCTGCAGCAGGGTGGGGGGGGCTCAAATAGCTGCGGGCGGCGGCTCTGTCTGCAAAGTCTGGGGCCCTGTAGGAAGGAGAGAGGCGGCTTTGGGGGAGGCGCTGTGCTGCTGCTTCAGCTGCAGCAGCAGCAGCAGCAGCTGCAGCAGCAGCAGCAGCAGCAGCAGCAAGAGAGAGATGAATTATCTTTTGCTGCCAGCACTTACGCTGCTCATCATCGTAGCCGCCGAAGGCCATCTGTCTGCTGCTGCTGCTGCTGCTGCGGGCAGCAGCACGAGCTTTGGCTGCAGGGCTGCGGTTGGCTCTGTTGCTGCTGCGGCGCGGCGCGCTGCTGCTGCTGCTGCTGCTGCTGCTGCTCCTGCTGGACATGCTGTCGCCGGTGCTGCCGCTGCTGCTGTAGCTCGTGCTGCTGTCCTCTGTTGTTTCTGCATCCGATCCTGCTGCTGACTCAGGCCCTGCAGCAGCAGCAGCAGCAGCAGCAGCAGCAGCAGCAACCCCACCTTTCCTCTTCAGCTCTGCAGAGCTTTGCTGCTGCCACGGATCCGAAGTAAACAGGCTGGGCAGCAATGTATCCCTGCGGAGCGCAAGCAGCTCAAGTAGGTGCTTTTGCAGCAGCAGCAGCAGCAGCAGAAGCAGCAGCAGCAGCAGCAGCAGCAGCAAAAGCACCATTGCAACGGCAGCAGCAGGGGAGCACGCAGCAGCAGCAACAGGAGGGCAGCTGCAGCAGCAGCAGCAGCAGCTGCAGCAGCAGCAGCAGCAGCAGCAGCAAGAGAGAGATGAATTATCTTTTGCTGCCAGCACTTACGCTGCTCATCATCGTAGCCGCCGAAGGCCATCTGTCTGCTGCTGCTGCTGCTGCTGCGGGCAGCAGCACGAGCTTTGGCTGCAGGGCTGCGGTTGGCTCTGTTGCTGCTGCGGCGCGGCGCGCTGCTGCTGCTGCTGCTGCTGCTGCTGCTCCTGCTGGACATGCTGTCGCCGGTGCTGCCGCTGCTGCTGTAGCTCGTGCTGCTGTCCTCTGTTGTTTCTGCATCCGATCCTGCTGCTGACTCAGGCCCTGCAGCAGCAGCAGCAGCAGCAGCAGCAGCAGCAGCAACCCCACCTTTCCTCTTCAGCTCTGCAGAGCTTTGCTGCTGCCACGGATCCGAAGTAAACAGGCTGGGCAGCAATGTATCCCTGCGGAGCGCAAGCAGCTCAAGTAGGTGCTTTTGCAGCAGCAGCAGCAGCAGCAGAAGCAGCAGCAGCAGCAGCAGCAGCAGCAAAAGCACCATTGCAACGGCAGCAGCAGGGGAGCACGCAGCAGCAGCAACAGGAGGGAAAGCAGCACCGGCAGCAGAACGACAAGGTGCAGGACAACCAGGAACGCTAGCAGCAGCAGCAGCAGCAGCAACAGCAGCAGCACCAGCGGAAGGAAGACTGCCGTGTATCAGCAGCAAGAGCAGCAGCAGCAGCAGCAGCAGCAGCAGCAGCAGCAGCAGCAGCAGCAAACCAATTTAAATGTGCTCACCGCACAACTCGAACAAAGGACCAGTAAGAGTTTTCGGTTTCGCAAATCCACTGACTCGCCAAGAACACCAGCTGCACGCCCGGAGCAGCAGCAGCAGACACCACAGAATTTGCTGCTGCTGCTGCTGCTGCAGCTCAAGCCCAGCTGCACCCTCTGCGCCACGCAGCTGCAGCAGCAGCAGCAGCTACAGCAGCAACTGCAGCAGCAGCTACATCAGCAGCAGCAGCTGCAGCAGCAACTGCAGCAGCAGCTACATCAGCAGCAGCAGCTGCAGCAGCAACTGCAGCAGCAGCAGCAGCAGCTACAGCAGCAACTGCAGCTACAGCAGCAACTGCAGCAGCAGCTACATCAGCAGCTGCAGGAACAGCAACAGCAGCAGCAGGAACAGCAACAGCAACAGCAGCAGCAGCAGCAGCAGCAGAAGCAGCAGCAACTGCAGCAGCAGCTACATCAGCAGCTGCAGGAACAGCAACAGCAGGAACAGCAACAGCAACAGCGACAGCAGCAGCAGCAGCAGCAGCTACAGCAGCAACTGCAGCTACAGGAGCAACTGCAGCAGCAGCTACATCAGCAGCTGCAGGAACAGCACCAGCAGCAGCAGGAACAGCAACAGCAGCAGCAGCAGCAGGAACAGCAACAGCAACAGCAGCAGCAGCAGCAGCAGCAGCTACAGCAGCAACTGCAGCAGCAGCTATATCAGCAGCTGCAGGAACAGCAACAGCAACAGCAGCAGCAGCAGCAGCAGCAGCAGCTACAGCAGCAACTGCAGCTACAGGAGCAATTGCAGCAGCAGCTACATCAGCAGCTGCAGGAACAGCAACAGCAGCAGCAGCTACAGCAGCAACTGCAGCAGCAGCTACATCAGCAGCTGCAGGAACAGCAACAGCAGGAACAGCAACAGCAACAGCGACAGCAGCAGCAGCAGCAGCAGCTACAGCAGCAACTGCAGCTACAGGAGCAACAGCAGCAGCAGCTACATCAGCAGCTGCACGAACAGCAACAGCAGCAGCAGGAACAGCAACAGCAACAGCAACAGCAGCAGCAGCTACACCAGCAACTGCAGCAGCAGCTACATCAGCAGCTGCAGGAACAGCAACAGCAGGAACAGCAACAGCAACAGCGACAGCAGCAGCAG